TTGATGTGAAGATAACTGTAATTTAAACATTAGCAGGGCTGTAATATCTATGTTACATTGATTTAAAACTAATGGTAAACTTTGGTTGTAATTTTAATTTGGAAACATAAAATATTTATTTTAAACAATTATATCAAGTTGAAAACATAATTTTATTTAATTAATAATTTAAAATTAAAAATGTGCAGTATATTATAATCTACAGTATTAATTACTAATAGTAATTATACAATGTAAATAATTATTCTAAACATTTTTATAAATTATATTTAATGAATATAATTACATTATTATAATTACACATGCTGAGGAATTAAACATATTAAATTAGATAGTAAATAATTATATGCACCTAGTTTTAATTTTACTCCATTAATTATTATTAAAAATTATGCAATATAAATAATTATTCTTACTTCTTTGTTACTTAAATTTAATGAATTTTTGAGATGATGCTTAATGAATATTAGTTATTCTATGCATATGGCGTTAAATAACTGTAAATTAAACAATAAATCACAACCAAATCCATTAAGGTGATAATTAAACATGTAAACATTGGGAGAGATAAATGACCCTCTTAAACCACAAGTTTTTGAAAACCGTTTGTGTTTGTGATTACAAATTTTATTATAATTTTCAAGCATTTACCATGATAATTAGAAAAATTGGATTTACATTTAACCGGTGATAATTATTTGGTCCACATTTGAGCACAATTAGCCTGAGATGTTATCAATTAAAACTAATATCACTTATATTGAGATAATCCTTGCCTAGAAAGAATAAATGTCCGCAAAGCATTATTTATTTATATTTTAATATTATTTTATTTTTATTTAATTGGTTACAAAAATATTGAAACCATTGTTTTTCATTGATGGAGGATAAACTGCACGCCCTGCATAATTGTGCGTATTTAAATATTAAATTAATTAAATTTAATTTAAGTATAAGTTATTTAAAATGAGACATTTGAATTAATTCTTATTTTAACAAAATAATTTTTGACAAATTATAATAATTTTCTATTTATTTTAAATTAAATTATTTTAATTAAGTTGGATCGGGCAGGGCCGTGCAGGGCGTGCAAGGTCGGGCAGGGCAACTGTAATGTAATCATTAAATAATATTTAATAAATTTGGTTTAAATTAAATGGAATTATTAAGGAAAATAAAACATAAAAGTGTTTTTTAAATGTTTTTGCTTAATTATAATTATTCTTTTTAATTTAATTGCAAATGATCAGGGAAATAATAATCACTGGTGATGGTTAATTGGCTAATTATTGGCAAACATTTGATTTTATTTCACGATTAAAACAATTGCATTCAACATGAAGTGACTTAAGCCCTGACAATATATTTGTTGAAATACTGCTGACAAGTGAGAGTTAACACATTTGAAGTAATTGTTCAGAGAAATTATTTGCAACAAATTTTATTAACATATTGTAAACTGTATAATTTACCAATTTCAATTTACAATTTAATGAAATTATATTTATAAAAATAATATATTGGTCCCATATCAAGAAATGAGACAATATTTATTTTAAAATCATGTTTTTATTTTATATGATAATTGAAAAACCTACCATGCCAATTACATTAGAAATTACATTCCATTATTTATCAAAATAGTAATTAAAGTATAATGAAAAATATTTTATAAAAGTTGTCAATTCATTGTAATTTAAAATAAAATTTGAATTAATGTATTTGGATTTAGTGATAAATTATAATTCATAAATTATCAATATATTGGTTATTTAAAATCACATTAAATTTTCAATTATTATTTAATTCTGTTTTAATTGTTCAATTTTATTTCATATGATTTAATTCATTATTGTAGATACAGCAATATTGTCAACAATTTGGCCCAGTACCATTTGCTCAAAATGTGCCCACACCTGTTGAAGGACTCGTGCGCACTCGTGGCCGACTACCGGTGCGATGACGTCGATCGGTGTGAACGCGATGTCAGACCTGTCCATACGATGTGGACATTAAGGACAAGGATTTGAAAAAATTAATTAACTACAATCCTGTTAATCATTAAATATATTTCTAATCTTAATTATCAATGTTTAAAACGTTGGTTAATTAATTATTGGTCCTTCCATAAATATAGATTTAACTGTGAATTTAATTGATTAATGCATTAATAATTTAAATAAAATTAAAACAAATATAAATTGATTCTACAATCTACCACAAATAATTATTTATATTTTATTTAATTAATGTGGGTAGTAATAACAATTTTACAGTTTTATATGAATGTGTACATTAATTTTTCGCTTAACTATGTGCATGGTGATTCTACAATTCTATACCAACCAGCGATGGATTTGACATGATTTGTCTATGTTTATGATTACCAAGTTTTAACAATATTGTATAATGCAAACAAACTGTCAGACAAACAAATAAAATTTTATCATATTTGTACACATGCTCATGCATTAATTAATGGTTTGATGTAAGGGGCGGTAATAATTTTACTCAATTTAATTTAAACAAATTAAAGTTAGTTGAAATTAATATATAATTAATATTGTGTACTATATTTTATATAAATTTAAATGGTGTTAAATAAAATTAAAAAAGTATAAATTATAAAATACTCCGGTCGTTGGGATTGTATTGTCCGACGTATAGACTATAGAAATATATTAATTAACAATTAATCATGGTAAATTTTATCGATGAATAGATTTATTCTTATGTAAACTATAACACAAATAATTAAAATAAACTGTACTTACGATAACTGTTAATATCAAATTATAATTCCTTATATTCAATTTAGACATTAAATATAAATTTCGCCAAGATAATCTTTTATACGCCATTTAGAATTGAGAACCTCATAGCACTGTTCACATAAATTTTAAAATATTTAAAATTGAAATGTAAACAAATAAAAATACAATTATTATTGTGAAGTTGTGCTCAAAATAAGACTGTAAATAACTAATCGTATTAAACTAAATATATACATTTAAATAAGTAATAATTAGTTTTGGACGACACATCGGGATCTTTATTAAAACATATTTTGCATGATAAAGTCGGACAAGGGAGGGTCAGTCAAAGTCTGGCAAGGCAAGATCGGGCACCCCGGGCAGGCCGGGCACCCCGGGCAATTCAACCTCCACCAATTAATTATAAGTTTGTTGTTTTTGGATACCATATTTATTACATTATTAATAGTTTATTTAACCTACTGATCAACTACTTGGCTGACTTTTTATAAATGACATCTAAAACTCATCTTAAAAATCAGTCTTAAGAGTCACACTTAAAACACTCTAGGAATGCCTCAACCAAACCTTTGAGCAATTTTTAAATTAAACAAAACTTCATTTACATGTCTAGTGTCCGAGTAATTAATTGTTAAACAGAGGTCACTTTAGAAATCCTGCCAGTATGTTAAACGATGAACTTTTTAAATCGTTAACAAATTAGTGCATTTGTAGTTCAACCGCAGTGGCGCTTCAATCTACGCACTATTTGTTCATCTTCACTGCAGTGGCATTTCAGTGGAGTTTACTCCTGTATTGAGTGGTGATATATAACACTGTATTTATAACACAACTTTGGGTTCAATACAGACGTGTGTGTGCATAGTGCGTGTAGTGGTATAATGATATACGCATTAGGCCTACATGGCTGGATTTTCTGCCAACTTTGGCGCTCAATTTATGTAGACTTCAATCATAGCCTTATATGCAGTGACGCGCGCACACTGAAGGTACAGATATAAAGTGCTATACATTTATGGCATTGTGGCTGACTTTTCAGCCAACATTTTGTGTTCAATGCAAACGCATGTATAGTGTACTCAAGCAGTGTACAGGTTTATATGCACAATGCAATCAAATGATAAACAATAGATGTTAGGTCTGGCTCTCAATGCATTGATAGTGAGTTCTCATTATTAGTTGTTTGTGGGCTAAGTGATCGCCATTTATAAACAAAAGCATAACAAATCAAATATGAATTAAAGTGTTGTTATTTTTAAACTATAATAAAGATAAATAATTTAAAACATTGTCAAATCCGATATCCTTAATTAATTAAGGATATCGGATTTGAATTCTACGAAAAATTTATTAAATAAAATCAAAATTTTTGGTAATAATACATTTACTCAAAGTGATAATAATGAGTCGTAAAAACATATTAACTCGACAACAACTCGAGGATCTGCTAAATGATTAAAGTGCTAAAGATTGTGAAAGAATAGAAGTCTAAGATTATTCAACAGATACTGAACAAAGTATTGAAAACATTAGTAATAGCAGTGATGGTATTCATATACTCCAAATATGAGCACATCGCAGTCAACAAAAACTAAATCAAATTAATACAATCATTATATAAATTGGGATATATTTAATTAATTAAAAATATATAATTTATTAACTTTTATGTGTTTAAAAAATACCGTTCATTTTATTATATAAATATTTCTATTTTGTTCATAAATGCTAATCAAACATATTTAATTTGAAAATAAATGTTTATTAAAATAATAATTAATAATTGTTTTTAATTAAAAACTTCATAAATTGTTTCAATACACTATACATGCGTTTGCATTGAACACAAAATGTTGGCTAAAAAGTCTGCCACTATGCCTTAAATGTATAGCACTTTATATCTGTACCTTCGGTGTGCGCGCGTCACTGCATATAAGGCTATGATTGAACTCCACATAAATTGAGCGCCAAAGTTGGCAGAGAATCCAGCCATGTAGGCCTAATGCATATATCATTATACCACTACACACATTATGCACATAAACCTATACATACGTCTGTATTGATCTCTATGCTCTCTATTTAACTGCCATCTACACTTCCTGTAAATCAGGCATAACTGCATTTATTTGTGCTGGCAGGATTTTCAGCCAAGAATGTTTTAGTAAGGAGGGGAATAAGTGTGTAATCGCTAGGTTAAATATTGTATAAACTTACCCAACGNCCGGCCGAACTCCAGAGCCTATGGGAGAGCTATAAACTCGGACAGGAAATGATTGGCAAGAAAGTGAGGGCTTCTTCGGGATTTAGCGGTAAGGGCTTTAAGTTCGATGAGGCGGAGGCACAGCTCACCAACGAGAAGAAGAAGTTCCAGAAGGCGGCGCTCGGACTGCAAGACTCGGACGACGAGGACCCCGAAGCCGACATCGATCAGGAGATTGAGAATATGTTGGCGCCCAAGAAGTCGACCAAATCGGTGCCCATTATGTCGTTGACGTCGACGAGTGCCACCACTCCGACCGCCACTTCGGTCAGCGACAAGACGGTGGCCGAGAAGCTGGAAATGGCCAAACGTCTGGCCTCTAAGATCAGTGTGAATATCGCCGGAAAGGCCACTTCGCAGACGGAGGCCTTCCTGAAGGGAGAATTGGCCGGTTCTCTGAGTTTCTCCAACGCATTCACCGCCAAATCGAAGGCAGAACAGGTGGCCGAACGACTTCACGCGAAACTTAATTACGTGCCCAAAGACGTGGAGTACAACGAAGACGGAGATATCATCAGACGAGTGGAAGACGACGACACTATCGGCCAAAATATTGGCCAACGCTTCGAAGAGGAGCTGGAGATCAATGAATTCCCACAACAGGCGCGTTGGAAAGTGACCTCCAAAGAGGCGCTGGCGCTCATCAGCGAGTACTCCGAGGCCGGCATTACAGTGAGAGGAACTTACTTCCCGTCCGGCAAAGAGCCACAACTCGGGGAACGCAAACTGTATTTGGCTATTGAAGGCACGACCGAACTGTCCGTTTCTAAAGCCAGGGCTGAAATCATTAGACTTATTAAGGAAGAGATGGTTAAAATGGTGAGTGTTTTTGTGGTTGAGTTTGTTTTGCATTGATTTTAACACTGTTTTTCCTGTCGTTACAGCAAAACGCTTACACTCCCATCAATAGGGGTCGATATAAAGTGGTTTAATAAATGGTACAACAATTGTGTGAATTCTTGTAAATATCATAAGTTTTACACAAATTTTTATTTGTCGACGATTTATAAAAATTCGATCTATTTAATTTAATTATAACGAATAAACAATTATTTACTAAACGCTTATTTAATCAATCATTTAATTTATGTTTTATAAAATTTAATTTCAACAATTTGTTTCAAAATACTATAATTTTTGCAAAATTTATACGTACCGTAAAATAGATATTAGATTTGAAACGTGCATAAAGTTGTCATTTCTTTGGCGATTTGGGTGTGAAATATACTAATCTCGTGAGCATTGATGTAATGCACTGTAATTGACAATCAAATTAGTAATTAATAATTATTAAGTATTAAATGCATTCATTTGTAAATGAATTCAATTGTCTGACCGGTATTTGCTTCTTCTTATCGGCTCTCGGATCCGTAGAATTTGATTCAAAATCAAAGGCCATTCTCTGGTTGACAATTGTGAAGAGTGTGACCAAATCGTGATCACTTTTATAGCAATAATCGTTTAATACTGAGACCAATGTTTGGATAAAATAAGAGCCAAAATCGGCGTTTCGGAAAGAATAGTGGCCTCAATATTGATACAAATTATTACTAATTAAATGCATTATTTAATACACAGAATATAATAAATACCCGGAGAAGTGCTCTGATATATAAGCAAATCAGCGTTTGTTGGTATTGTATAGACAGGCTTATAGACTATGGGTCTTTTGTCGACACTGGAGGACCCGTTACCGAGTGTTTTCAATTTAGATCCCGAATCGACATTATTTCCACGACAAGCCTATAGAGAGTACAAGAGATTCAATTCAATGACCATTCAAATGATGGTAATTCTGTTGCTCATCAATACCTGAATTATAAAGATTTTTGGTTTCCCTATAAGTGATGAACAATATAAGTACGGAAACAATATCTCTGCCTTGTATTTGGTATCTCTGGCCCAAAGAGTGTGTTCATTGCCATGGGTTAAGATAATAACTACAACACAGTCATTATTGGTGTGATTTTCGGTTCCAACTAATGAAATATAAATATAATTTAAATGTTTTGTGAATTTAAACTTTTTATAGTATAAATTTATTAACTATTAAATAGTGTTTGTCTGATGTCTCTAAGACTGCCATCGTTGACAACAATTACTTCAAAATCCAGTCTTTCAAAGCATGTGATAATATTACGGACATCTTTATCGGTTCCGTCCCTATCCTTGCATTTGGTCTGTTTGTCGAAAGTCTTGTGATTAAATACAACACATTTGCCACGATTTTTGTGTTTCATACCATAGGCTATACTATTAACGGCAACATTTAATACACCATAACATTCATTTGATGGCCTGATTAGAAAATTAATTTATAAAAATATTAAAATCACATTTTAAATCATGGTATACTTTACATATTTATAATTTGTTTTGTGATTGTTAACCTACTGATCAACTACTTGGCTGACTTTTTATAAATGACATCTAAAACTCATCTTAAAAATCAGTCTTAAGAGTCACACTTAAAACACTCTAGGAATGCCTCAACCAAACCTTTGAGCAATTTTTAGATTAAACAAAACTTCATTTACATGTCTAGTGTCCGAGTAATTAATTGTTAAACAGAGGTCACTTTAGAAATCCTGCCAGTATGTCAAACGATGAACTTTTTAAATCGTTAACAAATTAGTGCATTTGTAGTTCAATCTGAGTGGCGCTTCAATCTACACACTATTTGTTCATCTTCACTGCAGTGGCATTTCAGTGGAGTTTACTCCTGTATTGAGTGGTGATATATAACACTGTCTTTATATCACAACTTTGGGTTCAATACAGACGTATGTGTGCATAGTGTGTGTAGTGGTATAATGATATACACGTTAGGCCTACATGGCTGGATTCTCTGCCAACTTTGGCGCTCAATTTATGTAGACTTCAATCATAACCTTATATGCAGTGAGGCGCGCACACTGAAGGTACAGATATAAAGTGCTATACATTTAAGGCATTGTGGCTGACTTTTTAGCCAACATATTGTCTTCAATGCAAATGCATGTATAGTGTACTCAAGCAGTGTACAGGATTATATGCACAATGCAATCAAATGCTAAACAATAGATGTTAGGTTTGGCTTTCAATGTATTTATAGTGAGTTCTCATTATTAGTTGTTTGTGGGCTAAGTGACAGCCATTTATAAACAAATGCATAACAAAACAATAAAATGAATTAAAGTGTTGAGAGTTTAAAACTATAAATAACTTAAATCATTGTCAAATCCGATATCCTTAATTAATTAAGGATATCGGATTTGAATTATATGAAAAATTTATTGACTAAATTCAAAATTATTGTTTATAATACATCTAATCAAAGTGATAATAATGAGTTGTAAAAACATATTAACTCGACAACAACTCGAGGATCTGCTAAATGATGAAAGTGCTGAAAATATTGCTAGTAATGAAGATTGTGGAAAAATAGAAGTCTAAGATCTAAGATACAGATACTGAACAAAACATTGAAAACATTAATGATTTATATACTTCAAATATGAGCACATCGCAATCAACAAAACTAAATCAAATTAATACAATCATTATATAAATTGGGATATACTTAATTAATTGAGGATATATAATTTATTAACCTTTATATGTGTTTAAAAAATACCCTTTCATTTTATTATATAAATATTTCTATTTTATTCATAATTGCTAATCAAACACTTTTAATTTGAAAATAAATGTTCATTAAAATAAAAATTAATTATTGTTTTTAATTATAAATACATGCATAAACTGTGTTACCCATTAGCGCCCAATTAGCACTGTTTTAATACTTTATAAATGCGTTTTCATTGAACACAAAATGTTGGTTAAAAAGTCACTATGCCTTAAATGTATAGCACTTTATATCTGTACCTTCAGTGTGCGAGCGTCACAGCATATAAGGCTATGACTAAACTCCACATAAATTGAGCGCCAAAGTTGGCAGAAAATCCAGCCATGTAGGCCTAATGCGTATGACTATATACCACTGCACACACTATGCACACAAACCTATACAAGCAATACACATTGAGTAATGCTCTCTATTTAACTGCCATCTACACCCCCTGTAAATCAGGCATAACTGCATTTATTTGTGCTGGCAGGATTTTCAGCCAAGAATGT